TAGCCTTGAAATAAGCTACGCAATTTGCATAGCTCAGATTGCCAAGCTTATTTCGAGTTATGGTGCAGTGCGGATGCACCCAACGTGGCCTGCAGCAGAGACAGTCTGGGATTGCCACGGGCAGTGCTTCACAAACTTTGTGGGCCACTTGAAAAAATTGCTGAGGGTCTCGGCGGACCACTTAATGGTCTTTCCACATGCCATTTGTCCTGTCGGCTGACTGCTGTAGAGCACTTTGGAGAAAAGGACGATCTATAAAAAATCTTAATTCACATTTTATTGTTCTACAAATAAAAGCCCACAACTCCATACTTTAATATTCGTAGGGATATTCTGAGGCTGGGAAGGAGGCTCTATCTCTTCCCAGCAACTTCAGCCCTGGAGCTGGGGAAAGCAGCCTCTTTCTCTGGCCACCACAGCCCTGCACATCCCAAATTCCCCCACCCCCTTCTTCCCTCCCCACTGTCCCCCCACTTATCTCCTATTTCTCCCACCTCACCCCACTTCCCCTTCCTATTTATCTGCTATTCCCCTCAGGGCATCACCTAATCTTACATATGTATCTTCTCCATGGTCTGGGCACCTAATTAATGGAACCATGCTTGCACAGATCCAATAATTAGGTGGCAGCCTGTCATTTGCTTGTGCACAGCTGCCCTCATAGGGAACCATCCCAAAGACTTAGATGGAACCACTTGAGTGGAGCTTGCAGACCACTGGTGGCCCCTGGAGAGCAGCATTCTGCACTAACCTTCTGCCATTGTGTGGCTTGCATTGCAGCTGTTCCACTCCCGAGAAGGCAAATCATTAAAATCTCGCCACTGAGGCAACAGTCGAGCTTGGGTTTCCAGGCGGCTGTGAGTGTGGCAGAAGCAAGCTGAGTGTTCTCTCTTGGGCTAGGATGGCATAGAGAGCTGGGCATTAGGCACCATGTTATGCCGATGGCGAGGCACTCAGAGGAAGAGGCCTATGAATGAGTGAGCCAAAGGAGCAACAGAAGCCAGGCTCAGTTTTAAAGCCACAATCATTTGTGTACCACACTTGGCAAGGGGCCTTGCAGAGTTCTGTTAACTGGACCTGTTGTCACACCTGGGGGAAGAGAGGCAGGAGGGTAGCTCATCAGGACAGACACTGGACCAGGCTGCATTGAGGAGGACCACTCTCCTGCCGAGTGCTTGTGTGAGTTAGAGGGAGATGATGGAAGGCTGCATCAGACAAGCCAAACAGCAGTGAGTTGCTGTTATCGAATCTGAAGGACACCAGCTCATGGACCTAACACCTTCAGCTTCACCCTGAGTTGGCATCTGCCGTTGTGGCAGTGAGGTATTCCCCAGATGATGAGAGGAGTTTGCAGATATTCTGCCAGCACCGATCACGCCCTTTTTGCTCCACAGGCACATGGGAACCCAAGTGCCAAACAAATAGAAGAAACAATGAGTTGCAGAAATCTCCCGTGCTATCTAGCCCATCTGGCTCAAACATAACGCCAACCAGCAGAATAGAACTTAGGACCCTTGGGACGTCAGGCATGAGCCTGTACCGCTTGAGCTAAAAGGCAGCTGGTGCTCAGCTAAGGCTGTAGAGAAGACTCATTCTTTCTCTCTGTAAGTGGTCGGAGGGTATGTCTATACTTCAGAGTTTTTCCAAAAAAAACTTCACTTACATCCACACTGCAATCGCATCCTTTCAAAAAGTAATCAAAAGAACAGAGGGGTTTTCCCAACATTGGTAAACCTCTTTCTGTGAAGAAGAAGCCTTTTTCTGAAAGAGCTCTTTCAGAAAAAGGAGTGTGTGGATGGGGAAGAAGGAGTTATTTCGAAAGAAGAGGAATGAGGAAAAAGCACAGGTGCCCTGGTGGCCATTCTGTCCATAGTAATCACAGCTTAAATGCGAGATAGCGTCCACACTGAATAGACGCTATCTTTTGAAAAAGCAGATTACTCTTTCAGAAGAAGTTTTTTCCGGAGATCTCTTCTGGAAAATCTTCTTCTGAAAGAAGTCTGCAGTCTAGACATAGCCTGAGCAACACTACATGGAACCACACCCAGTAGGTGTGTGGGTTACACAAGCACAAATTATTCCTCTAGATAGAGCTCCAAGCAGTTTTCCTGGTGAAGATTCTGAAGTGACTGAAGCCAAGAAAACTCCTAAGAATCCATTCAAGATATTACATGAGACCCAGCACATCCTGGGGTCATCTAGCTCAGCCTCTTTAATTCCTTCTACTTAGAGATGGTTTTATCTTAAAAAACTCTTTAATTCCTTCTACTTAGAGATGGTTTTCTCTTAAAAAAAATAAATGGAAAACAGGAGCATTTTTATAAAAATGAATAATGTTCTTGTTTTCCAAGTTGCTTGAGCATATCTGTAGTTCTCCAACAAGAGGAAAGGCTGATCTAACTAGGTAATCTCCACGCAGGAGACTTTCTATTGGTACCAGCATATTTCATCCCAGGTGGGTTTTGTCTGTGCTCAGTGAGTTTTCTTTAAACATTGTTGGGTGTTCGAGTGTTGGCCTGACACTAGCATTTTGACCACTTTGTTTCTAATCCTGTGGGCTGAAGTGGGGTATAAGAATTCCCTAGATCTTGTAGAAGCTCCTCTGCACAAGAGTTAATCTGATGCCATGAGTTTTCAAATCTGCACAGAACACGTAAGAATGTCTGGAATTGTGCTGGGGGTCTACTCCGAGAGAAGAATTTGGATCCTTGTTTCCAACAATTTTCTACTGAATGCTGACCTCTCGGTGACACCTCCCCCCCCCCATAGTAATCCTGAGTACTGAAGCTATGCATCAAATTCCTCCACTCACAATGCTCATTTAATGATAACGTCTCTCCGAAGTCAGGAACGACTGTGCTGCTCCTTCCCCCAAATGGGATAATCTAGTAGTTTTACTATAGATTGTACTTTTCAGCTTTCTTTATTTCCTTAAATTGCTCTGCAAGCTGCTGAAGTCATCATCAAAAGCACTGGAGTCAGCGAGATTTTTTAAATGTTTAAAATGATGTAAGATCATTTTCCTTCAGAGACGAGAACCCTTAAAACATTTTAAGTATTCTTTTCCGTTTCCTTCCCTTTCTCTCTCTTTTAATGGTGGGGCTGTTGCAACCAAACATTAAAAACCCTATAAAAATATCACAGAGAAAGTAAATTAAAAAAAAAAATGCCAGAGTGTGATCAAATGATTTCTTGGAAACATCGGGCTTCCTGCTGCTATCTATCATGTTTTGTTACTATGGAGAAGAAAATGAATGAAAAAGACCACCCCATGGATGGAGTTTCCTGTGCCTTATTAGTAAGATGCCTTGCCCGTTGTCGAATTGCAGGGTGGGAGGCCCACTCCATGAAAAGTGGATTCCTAAGCACTTTCCTTGTGGGATGGGAAAATTAGAGAAGTCATATCCTGTCAACACAAGGCTGTGTAGTTGTGTCAGGGGAAGTCCACTGACATCAAAGCTGAAGAGAATGGAGTCACTCTGAGTGCACACTGGTATAACTCAGATGAAAATCTGGTCCAATTAGGGGGAAATCCTAATTCCACTCATGGGCTACGTCTACACTGGCATCCTTTTACGGAAATGCTTAAAATGGAACAGTTTTCCGTTATAAGTATTTCCGGAAAAAGCGCGTCTACATTGGCAGGATGCTTTTCTGGAAAAGCACTTTTTCCAGAAAAGCGTCCGTGCCAAAGTAGACACGCTTTTCCGCAAAAAAGCCCCGATCGTCATTTTCACGATTGGGGCTTTTTTGCGGAAAAGAAATCTGTGTTGTCTACACTGGCCCTTTTCTGGAACAGTTTTCCGGAAAAGGACTTTTGCCCGAACGGGAGCAGCATAGTTTTTCCGGAAAAGCACTGATGATTTTACAGTAGATTGTCAGTGCTTTTCCGGAAATTCAAGGGGCCAGTGTAAACAGCTGGCAAGTTATTCCGGAAAAGCAGCTGATTTTCCGGAATAAGTGGCCAATGTAGACACAGCCATGGAGTTTAGTGGGGCCAGACTTCACTTTGGGGTGGGAGCCAGGACTCCTGGGTCTGCTCACATTTTCCAAGCTATTTTAGATAAATCACGGAGGCTAAAGGGGCCATTGTAACCATATAGTCTGACCACTTGTGTTAGCACCACTTATAGTCAATGCTGGGTGCCCAGATCAAGGTAAATAAGCCAAAATCTACCAAATAAAAAATTAATTCACAATGCTATGAAGTGAACAGCTCAACGTACAGAACATGAAAAGGTCTGCTCTTCCCTCTTAATACACGTATGGAATATGTATCCGTGTGCTTCTGTGTGTATATGTACAGCAACACATGAATATTAGAAACATGGAACAGTGTACATTAATTGCTTAGCTAATTTGGAATAAAAATTACTAGCACGCCTTCAGCAATATGGCACTTTCTGGAGAGTTAAGATGATTAAAATGAATTCTGAACTGTTTTCTACAATTGGGACCCCTATCGGTTCTTCACAGGACGGCTCCCATTAGCCAAAAGAAAAACAAGGAAAATACTACAGTAAAATAACACCCACATTCGATATTAAAATATAGTTTTGCAGCATGAAACCCTTTTGGATATTGCAGTTTTTCTAAGGTTGTCTGGTCAGCGCTCTTCTTTGTATGTAATACTCTCCATTTAGAACAGTGGTTCCCAAACTTTTTGGCATCACGCCCCCTTTTTGATTTTTGAGAAACCCTCATGCCCTCCCTTCCAAAAAAATAGCAGCAAAATTTGGGTGGGATTGATGGGGGTATGTGTGGCTGGGTCCCCCCGGAATTTCTTCATGCCCCCCCAGTGTGGGAACCCATGATTTAGAACGCGGTGGGAGATATGCAAATTATTGAGCTTCCTGTTCTTTCTGATTGGGAGCATTTTTATTTGCAAGATTTGGTGCCTTTTCACCACTCCTGAGCTTCTGTCACAATTACGCTGCCTGATGCTACTAAATTTCAAAGATCTTGTTCAGAAGACAAGTGCAAGAAAATGCTTTCAAACATGTTTAATACGAGATCAGTGTTAATACGAGATCCTGCTGACAAGATTCAAAGAGTGCCTATGTGGTGACCTACAATATTCTGTTATGAAATGTAGCAAGTCACGCAGCCAATCTAGGGCAGTGATTTCTCTTGCTGGCTCCATCTGTTAAATGAGATATTCCTTCAGTGAGTGATGGGCACATGAAAAGATCTAGTCTTGTTTACAGTTGTAAATGATCAGCAAGAAGGAAACTAAGGAGAAAGCAAGAGAGCCTCGCTCGTGATTGATCAGTTTCTGTGTAAGCCATCGAAAGCAAGATCTTCATCCGTACACCCGTGAATGAGACTATCTGCAGAAGACAATGCAGAGGAATGAAAAGGAAAATTGTAAAACTCTAGCAGGAGACAATAAACCAGCCACAAATAAAAGCGTGGATTCATTCTTCACAGGCACATTTTGCTTAAAAGTTTCATTTGCCTCATTTCACTTCTTCACAATGTTGTTCCAATACTTCATTCACTGCCGCAAATCAAATGAACAAAAGAAAAAAAATTAAAGCTATTGTTATCCAGCTATTCCATTAGGGTGAATTTTTTTTTGGTTTTTCTTTGCATATTTATAATGTTTCTCTAGGCAGCATGACCAATTAGAACAGATGGCTGATAGGTTACATTGAATTACCTACCCCAGGCAACTGGGAAAGTATCCATATCATCAACAAATGAAACAATACAGTAGATTTAGAAAAAAAAATACTTTGTCATCATTGTGAAAAGTTATTCTTAATTCCTATGTAGTGCTTTTCTTCTGGTCTTTTCTCTTTTTTGCCATTAGTTATCAGTATTGAAATTTAAGTGGCATAGTTTGGGTACTAGAATTAAATCAATTTTCCAGAAGGCAATGAAGCTTTTGCGTATATATCATTTCTGAAATGTTCCGAATGCTGGAATATTTCTTTTCCGTGCTCTTCTTTTGTTTAATTTCCCTGCTAAACTGACAGAAACTAGTTTAAATAATAAAATGAATCACAATGCGCTGCTCAGTTCTATTCATGGTAGTTTCTAATTTCAAGTCTTTCTGCAGAGTTTGCAATAAGTATTTTTATGTGAAAATGCATGAAAAATGAGTCAGTGCAACAATTACCAATAGGTATTTTTGGTGAAGGTTCATTGAAGTTCTGCCTTTCCTGCATATAACACAGAGAGTGGCGTTTAAATGCGATTTTCAAAGGAGTCTAAGGGAGTAGCAGTATTGCAAATTCCAGGTGGTCCACAATCACGAGTCAGGACTGAAAATCATGTGATTGGCTTTAAAATCACAAGATTTTGAAAAAATAATACATTTTGGCTGTGTCTAGACTGGCAAGTTTTTCCGCAAAATCATCTGCTTTTGCGGAAAAACTTGCCAGCTGTCTACACTGGCCACTTGAATTTCCGCAAAAGCACTGACGAGCTCATGTAAGATTGTTAGTGCTTTTGCGGAAATACTGTGCTGCTCCCGTTCGGGCAAAAGTCTTTTTCCGAAAGACTTTTGCGCAAAATGGCCAGTGTAGACAGCAGGGATTTCTTTTCTGCAAAAAAGCCCCGACCGCGAAAATGGCAATTGGGGCTTTTTTGCGGAAAAGCGTCCTGCCAATCTAGATGCTCTTTTCCGAAAATGCTTTTAACGGAAAACTTTTCCGTTAAAAGCATTTCCGGAAAATCATGCCAGTGTAGACGTAGCCTTTGGGTTTCTGGGTTTTTTCCCCCTTCTGATTTCTGAGCCTTTGGGAGGTCAAATTTTCATGACTTTTCTTTATTAAAAAATAAAAGCTGAGGTTCTGATGATAAACCGACTCCAATGCGTTTAGAAAAGCACCTTATTCCACAAGACTCAGGATGCAATTGTGAGAGTTGGAAGCAGTGTTCCCTGTAAGCTATGCCCTGGTCCCACTGCTCAGGAGAGGTTCAAATGCCACCCAATTGATTAGCAGAGTGCCCACAGCTAAGGGTTTTTTTTCTAGTGGTGGTGCATATTCACACACGCCTTGGTGCATATATAATTATTCTGCACATGGATGGAAAAGATTAAAGGGAACATTTGTTGGCAGCAGTGGCTTTAGGCACCCACACAGCCAGAGGATTATCAGGCTTCTTTGGTATGGGAGCAGTCCTGGAATATTGTGTCTATTTTAATAATTGCATCCCTACATGATAAATGCTTAATTTCTCTCCTCCCCACTCCCCCATGCCTGCCCGGTCTATGAAGATGATAAGCTCAATGGGACACAGAGTCTCTGTACTATCTGCAAGCATAGTATGTAGAACAATGTGCCCGGGATCTCGGCTGGGGCCTTTTGGTGCTACTACCAGACTGTTAATTAATTAAAAAAATTGCACCGACTTTGTTACCCTGGGATGAAATCCTGCCCTATGACTTGCATCCGTGCAAGACCACACCATCTCCACTTCATTTCACTGCCATCACACAGACCAGGTGTGTGTGTGTGTGCGCATGTGCGTGTGGGTGAGTGCACGCGCACAGGTCTCCACTTGTGCAGGAGAGGGGAGGGTATTTCACCCTAAATCTTACCTTCAAAAGATATGCCCTGCAATGGGGGCTGGGCTAGGTTCATTGCAGCTGGTTGTAAGACAACAGGAGAGGGAGTCAGGAATTCCTGTTAATTGAGGAAATTGAGGAACACTAAATGACTTGCCCAAGGTCACACACAAAGTCAGTGGCAGAGCAGGGAATTGCACTGCAGTCTCACAAATCCTCAACTCATAGGCTAACCACTGGAACAGCCCTTCTCTCTCAAAGCCAGGCTTTTACCTGAACAGTCCACCTCACTTGGGTCTGCTACACTGGTCCTTAAAGGAAAGGAACTTTCTTCTCCTACATCTTTCTGCTTGTGTATAAATATGAGGAGAGAAGCTTTGCCTGTGGGACTTGGGTACTTCTGCTTCCGGGCTTGGTCAGAACCAGTCTGACAATTATTCTTGCTCTTCTCCCCAGGGTAACTGGATGTTGGCATGCAGCCCGGTTTCCCAGAAGGCAGAATGCTGGCTGAATGAGAATGGGCAAAGAAAGATAGCTCCTCCTCCCATCGTTAGTAATCCCTTCTTTTTTCCTTTACTATAAAATTAACTTGTCCTGGGAGCCCCTGTGGAGCTCTGACATCCATAGTACACCTCTGGGTGAGTCCTTACCCAGCCCCTTTCCTACATGTCGGTGTGTGTGATGGGGACAGCATTTGAAATCAGAGGAGTGTTTCTTGCCAGAAGTGTCTTTTCCTACAGTCTATAGTGGGCTTGCTGTGTTTTGCCTGCGGTGCTATCAGCAGCAAGCACTAATATAACACAACCACAAGCAGGCAGTGACTCTCATGCTGGGCACAGTCAGGTTAGTTATCAGAAAAAGCCGTTGCGTGACTCTAACACTTCACTCGAACTATCCAGAGGAGGCAGCATTCCTTCTTCATGCACGGGCGGCGGTGGGGGAGGAGGGAAAATGACATTCCTTCCAATGAATGAGTTAAGGAATCCAGCTTGTTGTGTAAGATGCTCTAAAAGTCTCACAACAAGGAGTCCTGTGGTACCTTAAAGACTAACACATTTATTTGAAAGTTTCAGAGGGCTAGCTGTATTAGTCTGTAACCCGAAAAACTTAAAAAACCCAACAAATTGTCTAGCAGCACCTCAGGCGAGGTCTACACTGCAAAGTTTTTGCGCAAAAACTTGTGGAGTGTCCACACCTCAAGCACGTTTTTGTGCAAGAAAATTTACAGTGAATCAACAGAATAGAGGGATTTTGTGGTATAGGTATTCCTCCTTCTGTAAGGAATAACTCCTTTATGCACAAGAGCTCTTGCGCAAAAAGGTGTGTGTGGACGGGGAACAGGTTTTTTTTGCGCAAAAAGAGACAAAAGGAAAAAGCCTAGGTGCGCTGGTGGCCATTCTGTAAATAGCAATCAGAGTTTCCTTTCGAGAGAGCGTCAAAGCAGTGTGGACGCTCTCATTCGCAATAGCGCATCACTTTTTCGATGCGCTTTTGCAGTGTGGACGCTCTCTTGTGCAAGAAGTTTTTGTGGGAGATCTCTTCTGCAAAAAGCTTCTTGCGCAAGAAGCCTGCAGTGTAGACATAAAGACTAACAAAAAATGTAGATGGTATCTTGAGCTTTCCTGGGCACAACCCACTTCTTCAGAGGAAACTTCTGAAGAAGTGTATTGTGCCCACGAAAGCTCATGATACCATCTACATTTTTTGTTAGTCTCTAAGGGGCCGCAAGACTATTTGTTGTTTTTTTAAGTTTTTACATTTATTTGAAGTACCCCTCTGGCACCTTAGGGACTAACAAATATATAGGATCATGAGCTTTCATGGGTAAAACCCACACAAAAACTCATGATCCTATATATTTGTTAGTCTCTAAGGCTATGTCTACACACAAGTGGTTATTTTAACATGTCAAAATCATGTCAACCTGGAGGACTTCTTACTCCAACTCATGTAACCCTTATTTTACAAGGAGTAAGTTGGAGGAAGAGTGTTCTAACTCAGACTTCCTGCTGTGTAGACAGCACCAAAAGTCAAAATAAACTATTTCGACTTAAGCTACGCAATTATCTCGGCTTTAGCCCTAAGCCCTAAGGTGCCATAGGACTACTCACAGATTTTAAAGTTACAGACTAACACGGCTACCCCTCTGAGAAATGTATTTGGGTATAAGCTTTCGTGGGCTGGTACTTCCGTGCATCTGACGAAGTGAGTTCCAGCCCATGAAAGCCCATGTCCAAATTTCAAGGATTGCAGCCATGAAAAAAAAAGTTGTTTGTTTTTTTGAATCCAAATCAGCTCAGTGTAACTTTGCTGTATGCCCACAAAAGGCACCTGAGTGAGGTGATTGGAGCTGAATTGAATTCTCAGGGACCCAAGTGGAAGAGGTCTTGGGGGAACCCCAGCATCCTGCCCCTTAGTGTTCTTCTCTAACCACCATAATTATGACAGGTTGCACCTCTGGAAACAGGTACTCTGTGGTCTGGCAGCATCTGAGGGCTGGAAGGACTGCGGTTGCTCTTGGACCAGAAAGCCCAGGAGCCCAAGGGCAGGACGGTCAGCCAGAACCAGGGGCAACAGGATCGGCAGCCCGGCTGGGGGCAGTGCAGCAGTATGGGCTGGAGCCCCATGGCAGCCCCTGGCTGTATGGGGCCAGGACCGGAGTCCCCCGGCAGCCCACAGCAGCTCAGAGCCAGACTCCCCATAGCAGTCCCTGGGAGTATGAGGCTGGCATTGGAGCCCCGTTGCAACATGGGGCTGAAGTCTCCTGGCAGCTCTGAGGAGCATGGGGCTGGAACCCCCTAGCAGACTCCGGGAGCGTGGGGCCAGGGCTGGAACTGCATGGCAGGAGCCGACAGCAGCTGAACAAGCAGCCCAGCCAGGTTTGCAAGGCAGGGTGCTTGCTGGGAGAGCCTGCTGGCAGCAGACAATGGCTTTGGGGGCTGGTGGCAGGAGACATCCTTTGGTCTGGCAAATTCTCTCATTCGGGACCAGTCAGGTCCCGACAGTGCCGGACCAGGGAGGTCCAACCTGTAGAAGTATTTTGATTTGGTCCAGCATGTCCTGAATAGAATGGTGAAAGATCTTGAAATCATGCAGATAATCCAGAGAGAGGGGGGGAGAAAGACAGAGCAAGAGAGAGCATTGTGGGGGCAAAGTCCAGAAAAGCATTAATTATATATTATTGCCTACAATGATTCAGGCATAAAGTCAACATTAACTTTCCAAATATCACCCTGCAATGAAATGCCAACTACTCCTACCTTCCCCCACGGAGCACACAGAGACAGATTGTTCTGGCAAGTTGATACAGGGCGGCAAAGACATAATCCGTTTCATTTAGGGCGAATCCATTTTAATCTTTTGCTTTTTTAATATATTTTATCCGGTGCATAAATCAGTATAAATGTCAGTTTAACAAACAGTGACAAGATCTGCAAGACATTCCAACTGGCGATATTAAACGGGAGACTCAGGAGGGGGAGATTTATTAGATTCTACATGTTTCATCAAAAGAAGCTTTTTCAGGCAGAAAACAGTAGGGGTTGCACCATGCTTCTTTTACTGATGCCCAAATGGTTAGGTGGGAAACTGCCCATCCCTCATCTAGCCCGAAATGTGCTAACCACAAGCAGTAGGTGGGCCGCAGCAGCCCGTGGCCCACCGGGGTTCCACCTGTGTCCCCACGACCTCCCTGGCTATGCCCCTCCCCCACGTACCTCATGTGCACAGGGGTACCGGAACCCCACACTGAGCTGTTTTAGATGCTGCTTGTAATAATTAGAACTGGGAGCACTGGCTGTTGGGAATCTGGAAGCACAAGAAACAGGAAGGAGGGGGGAGGAGATGGGCCTGAGTGAGAGCTACAGAGGGGAGCAGCAGCAGCTTTGTAAGGAGGTTTCATCTTTGGTAAATAAAGGCCTGTTGAAGTTTGTTACTACCTTGCTTGCATGATACAACACACACTTACCTGTTCCTCCCCACTCCCTGCCAGCACTTTCAGAGCACACAAAATCTGCTGATTTGTGGGAGGGATGGGGGCAGAGAGGGCAAATCAGCTGATTTCATGGCATTCCAGCTCTGGCAGGGAGGGGGAGGAGAGGGGACGGAGTGCCAATCAGGTGACTGGTGCACTCCAAAAGTGCTGGGAGGGGAGGGGGATGTGTAAGAAGTGTGGGGCTCCAGTGTGCAAGGTTCATGGGGGAGGGGGCAGTCAGGAGGTCCGTGGGCCCCAAGTGGAATTCCAGTGGGTCTCCCACCACTAATCTAAATCCTCAGCTCACGCTGATGGGCCTGATCCTTTGTCCCAGGGAGACTTTCAATCCTTGGACTCATTACAACTTCATCCAAATTAGGATAAACTGCCCAGCAGCACCCAATGCCTTACCCACCAGGGTGTCCTCCTCAGCTGTATTAAACATATGGCAAGTCTCCGACTCCTGAAAGGTTTCTTTAAAGAAATGAAGCAGCTCTCAGGAAACAGTCAGATGTTCCCTATGAAATGCATGACCAAAAAAAAAAAAATTTTTCAACTGGTTTTGACATTCAGGCGGAGTCATTTGACTGATTTTTGCAGAGAGCTTTTAAACGTTTCTTAATTCAAAGCTTATCATACAACCAGTAAAGGTGGGATGGGTGGAATGACATGTATCAAAGCTCCGGGGATCCCCTGCAAGGGGAAACTGCGGGGTTTTGCGCAATTCCAAAGTAGAAGGGTTTTCATCCATTCTATTCACTAGCCCAAAGCCAGGCACAGAGTCAGATGCCACTGGGAGACAGGAAGCGTGTGAAATTCCACATCGGAGCTCTCCTTCAAAGAGGAGGAAGCTCAGATCATTTTTGTCAACTTGTGGGGGCTTCAAAAACCTCGCAGAACCTTCGAACCACTGACCTTTGCCCACGAGCAGAAGCAACAGTACTGCTCTGGAAGACAACAGCAATATTAGGACACAGTCAGAATCAAAATGTAAATGTTATCCTTCCAAAATTGTCTCCATGTTCTTCCGAGTGCTTTTCAGGAGAAGTAAATGTATTTAGCTAATTGATTCTGAGCACAGTGTGCTGTGAAAACACATGCACGCATCCACAGATGATACATTATACAAAGCCTCTGCAGAAGCCTCAGCCTCCTTATTGAGAGACACCATGAATTTTGTTATTTACATGAATATAAATTAACTGCTTTGATCTAAGATCGTTAATAAAACAACTAAGGGCTGAAGTCTCCCAGAAGGAAAGTGAGGCGGGCGTGTATTAGGATGCTTTTAATTAGTAAATCTGGGAGCGCTGGAAAGTATGTACACAGAGAGGGGGAAAGAGGAAAGGCAAACACATTATTCTTAAGACATATTGTAATTGCATAAACAAAGCCCACGTTTTGGAATGTAGATGCTTTAAGCTAGTACAATTAAGACATATTGTAATTGCATAAACAAAGCCCACGATTTGGAATGTAGATGCTTTAAGCTGGTACAATTACCAGGGCAGTGGGGAGAAAAAAAAAAAGCACACAAACAAAACAGAGCAATGGAAGAAGAAAATAACGTAAATACATTAAACCGTTTCCTTTCATCAGTGGTACTTTGGAAAATGAAGCCAAAGTAGTGCTAAGTAACTGGCATGTGAGAGACGACTCGTGCAAGGGACTCAAAGGAGAAACGCCTAATTGTGTGCTTTGACTCAGACATGCAAGATGGGGCTGGCTGCTAGGCAGCTGATGATGGTGACGGGGATTTTGCAGCAGGAGGGTGAAGCTGTGGAGCATCAAGATTCAGATGGCAGGTAGATCATCTATGGCATCAGCTCCAGGGAAATGGGTGGATCTGTTTTGAGTCTTTCTTTTTACCTCTTCCCTAGCTCAGGAACGTCCTGTTTTTTGTACCTCCACAGTGGCAGTTCTACCTGCCAGGATGCAAAGCCAGGAACATTCCTTGCTACAGTCTCTAGCAGGATGTCAGCTGTCCCCTCTCCATTGTGTGCCCCCATCTGGAGACTGCCACTGCCAGCAATCCCTGGCCTCAAAGGGCTATGCCCCTGGGGCAGAAACACTGTGTGTGCCTAAAGTCTGGTGGTCTTTATAGATACTTGTTTTGGAACTGCATCTCCTGCCACTTTATTACCTAGTTAGTTCCCTGTACACAGGCACAGAATGCCCCTGGGACAAATTCTGGCTTCATAAGCAGCCGGTCCAGCATCATGAGGGTTCTGTTGACACTATAAGCTAGAGGTGTCATTCCCCGGGGCTGTGTATAAATCCTTGCTCAAGCTGCCACTGAATTAGCCTGTCAGTAAACAATGGGACCTCTGGAGCACTCGTGGCAGGAGTGGTGGTATGGCTGTGCTGTGCCGGGTATGTACCCACTGGCTTCAGGTGGGTTTGTCCTTGCCATGGCTTCTGTTGCTGCTACTGCAGCCACACTGTAATTCATACCTGTGCTGGGGTATGAAGAGAGCTAGCAGGAGGGTGTGTACATCAGCAAAGGAGTCATGCCCTTAGTTCATAGTATGGACACAGCCTACAATTCATGTGAAAGAGAACATGCTCCCCAAGCTGTCCCTGGGATATTCGACTTTTCTCAAGCACTTTGCTTCAAGAAAGGCATGCTTTAGCATCTGGGCTGCGTACAGGCAGGTGAAACGGCAGCTGATGACAAATGCTTTTGTACAGTGGAGCAGGCAGCTGGCCTTGTTTAACCTGGAGATGATATGAACCTCTGGAGAGCCACAGACAGCAGGGACTGTTTATAATCGTGCTTCATAAAAAGACCCAGCTGATGTTTTTAAAGGAATGTTGGGGGGGGGGTTTCAAAAAGAGAGCTTTTAAAAAAACACAAAAGGGTTTAATTTCTCCCCTAATTTTCTGGTTTGTTTGTTTTTGTCTTTTGCTTTTTGTTTGTTTGTTGTTGTTGTTGTTGTTACTTTTAAAGGGAAGTTTTTGCATGTTCAGTTTTTGTTTTTTCCCTTTTTTGTTTTTTCAGCTTTCACTTGTGTCTTTCAGCTCTCCCTCTCCCCCACCTTCTCTCCGAGGGTACATCTACACAGCAGGGCTATTTTGGCATACCAGAAGTATCCCGAAATAGCTACCCCACATCTTTTGAATGAGCCCGTTATTTCAAGATAGGTCTCAAAATAGCAGATGTGCTATTTCAGCATCCCTCTGACCCTTCTTCCATGAGGGTTAAGAGATGTCTTGAAATAGCACGTTATTTCGAAATTTGCTGCTGTGCAGACACATCACATTTCAAAATACGCTATCCTGAAATGCAACCAAATAAGATACCCAATTTGCTCCAACAGAACTAAGGCTGGCAGCACACACTCACTGTTAAACATGCTAAGTGGGTGCTCAGGTCAGAGGCACCTGAAAATGTGGGGCACCCCTGGAATTAATGTCCACCCCTCTGCCTCTTCCTATCCCTGTTCTGTGACTCTGTTTCCACCAGAGGGGAACCCAATTAACTTTAAAGTGAAAAAGCCTGCCACATTGAATCTGTGAAAGACCCATTCAAGTGGTAATGAAACCATTTAACAGGCATTTGCAAACCCCAGGTATATGCTGTCAGTTTCTGAATTTGCTCTGTCAGGCTACAGGACCTGAGTTTAAAATTGGCTTTTAAAATATTTCATTAGGGTGTTGTGGCAGATTATAAAATCACATCTCTAAAAAATCAGCATCCCTCTCTGCCTCCCCCTCCCCGCTCGGGCTGCCATTGGGTAGAGGAATAGTAATAGAGATGTAGCCGTGAGTCTGGTCTTGCTGAAACAAAAGACAGGACTATGCAGCACTTTAAAGACTAATAAGATGGTTTATTAGGTGATGAGCTTTCATGGGCTGCTCTCAGCCTGGGCCATTTTCCATGAGACATCCATTTCCTGGACACCACAGTACAAACAGATATCAGACAGTTTCACAAAGAAAAAACAGTTTCTTGCCATTTCAATCAGACTGGGCATTGTCTCAATGACCTGACTACCTGTATCCTGCTTCAAAGAGACTTTAACACAAGACTTCAAAGAGAAGCCTCTGAACTATCATTCATGCTTAAATTTGACGCTTTACGAATGGGCCTTAACAAAGATGCTAATTATCTTACCCATTGCAAAGATAGCTTCCCTAATTATCACTTCTAATATCATTATCTCATAGACATTAAATTCCTCCCCCCCATCCCTCCTCTGTTTTAAAATCTGATTTGTCTATTTTATATGTGTTTTTTTTTTTTATTGTATCCCTTTGGTATATATGGTCATGCCAATTTTCTTCCACATATTGATCTGAGGAAGTGGGTCTGGCCCACGAAAGTTCATCACCTAATAAACCATCTTGTTAGTCTTTAAAGTGCTGTATAGTCCTGTCTTTTGATTGGGCAGAGGGGCACAGTTTAATAGTACTGCATAGGGCCCCCTAAATCCTGAGGCCAGCCCTGGCTCAGATTCTCTGAATGAGGCTCTTACAAACCAGTTGAGTTTCTCAGTGGTTTGGTAGTGTGATTAGCCATTTGCATTTTTTTTAATAGCAAACCTGGCAGACTGAGTGAAGAGCCTAGTGATTAGGGAAGCAGAAGTCAAACTGCAGTCTGATCCAATCAGCAAACCTGGCAGACTGAGTGAAGAGCCCAGTGATTAGGGAAGCAGGAGTCAAACTGCAGAGTCTGATCCAATGCCCACCAAAGTCAGCAGGAGACTTTTGCGTCAACGTCCCAATACGCATGCTCTTGGAAGAGTTTGTTTTGCTAGAGTTCATTTGAGAGGCACACAATTTACCATAACCCTATATGAAACCCAAACGTCTGTGCTCATCAAGGCCCCTTCACTGACAGCAAACTAGCAATGACAACAGAGTGTAACCATACACGACAGAGAGAGGAGAACAGTCACTTCCCAACCTGGTAGTCCCCATGGACCTGAAAAACAAAGAGCAATCTCATTGTAAAATATTCATAGACAGCTGCTCTGTAGCATTTACCCTAGTGTTATTTAAATCTTGAGCTGCTCTATAATTAAAGCATTT